AGACAGTAGTTGGTGAGGTACTGACAAAAGCAGCCAGAGTTTGAGAGGAGGAAAATTTACCTTGTCATCTCAATAAGTGCCAGTATTTTCCTGAATTGCAACCTTTGGGGTTTTTTTTGACACAGTAACAACATCCACTATGCCAGCTGTGTCAGACTACCTGGCAACTTGGTCAAGATTTGAAATGAGCACTCTTCTGGAATAGAACTGAGGGGTTTTGTTGGTTTGTTTTCTGTTATGTTCTCTGTGTGACTGGTAGCAAAGCATCCTCAAACTGGAAATATACCTCAGTGGTTTAGTCAAAAGCCATGTAAAAATCAGTTGTCATCACTGCTAATAACCCAGGCCCAGATAGGTGTGGGAATTTATTTGTCAATTCTTACAATTTATGAGGGGAAGAAATAATTTAATAGGATAGACCAGTGGTTGGCAATTGTCTCCACAATTGGAGACAACTGGATTCTGCAGCTTTGAGGCTTCTCAGAATTCATATTAGTTTGCAGTAAAGCAGCTCATTCTTGGGGTTCACTTAAACATTCCTACATGCACAAAGTGAAATTTCAGACTGGTAACCAAGACAACTGTCTAGAAATCCCATTCTCATTTAGCATGTGCCAGTTCTACTGTGAAATTTAATACATCAAATGTCTGAATATTCTCAATTTGCAAGGCAAATGCATTTCAGTACTGACATCCAGATTGTAAAATTGGGATAGGTTTTCTGATTATTTTTAATTCTGTTGGTTTGTTTCTTAAATAATGGCATTATTATTTTTTAAATGGTGTGAACATAAATACAGCTGTTCTCACTTTTTGTTGAAGGGCAAACCAGTAGCGATGGCAGCTATAATCTTACAGGACCATATTGACTTCCCTAGACCAAAAACTATATTGAATGTGTAAAGAAAAGTTTAATCGGTCTTATTTCTTTTTTTTTTTTCCTCCTCTCCTTTTTTTTTTTTGGATGTATAAATATTATGGATTATTTGAGTATTTGTAATAAGTTAGAAAATCTGACATTCTGAACCATGTGAGGCCATACTTTGGTGCAAAATTAATCACTCGATGGGCAAAATATGTAAGAGGAAGGAAATGAGCAAAATCTGTCTAGTTAAGGACAGCTGCTCCGTAGGACATCTATAGGATGTTTTTATTGGTTTCTGACTCTATAATGTGTTACAAATAATCCTGTTCAGAGTAGAAGAAACTCTTATGTGGTCCAATCCATTGTCTGTCCTGTTAGGATAGTTTTCATTCTTGGAAAAGTGTTAAACTTGAGGGAGCAGATGTGCCCAGTGCACTAAAACACACAAATACAGGGAGAAAGGTGGTGTTTACTCTTCTTCTTAAATGTGCTGTGATGTTAGAATTGTTAGTGACTAGATCCACCTCTAAAATAAAAGGTAAGGGGATGGAAGGGGTAGGGAGTAAAATTTCTTTAGCTACAATTAAACTTGTTTAATAATAGGACTTCCATTGTAATTGTAAAAAAATCTTTGTGCCTACTGGTATTTTTTATTTAAAGAAACTCTTAGGACACTGCTGAGGCAAGTAAAGCTGCAACCTAAAACTGTCTGAAGGCGTCGCAGCTGCGAGAGGACCTTGCACTGGGCTAGTTCCCTTTCTTAACTGCAGGTGAAGTTTGCTTTGAGTTATACAAGGCCTAGGCTAGCCTTAAATAGGTGTTTCTGTGAAGCAATACAGGTTAGGAATCAAATGCTTTAAATGTGGGCAAGTTCGAATTAAGAAACACTCAAATTAAGAAGTGAAGGCTGATTATTTTAATATATGCACAATCAACAGCTGGTGTAAATTGATTCCTTGAAAACATAAAGGTTTGAGAATACATCTTAGGTCGCAGAGGTTGATATTGTATCTTTTGTCTGTTGTGCAATAATACGGTTTAAATGGTATCACTCAACAACAATGCTTTTGATACTTGAAAAGAAATTATTTGTTATTTTTTCTTACTGTGAAATATTTGCACTGTCTGAACTTTCTGGTTGACTTTATAACTGTTAAACTTTTTTACTGGTGTTAATTTATTGTGCTGGGTATTTGATATGCTAGTCTCCTGTCTGTGTAAGTGTGAAATTTGTCATATTTAAGTGAATATTTTTATCTTCTACACAGTTGTTTATCTTGAGGGCTTTTCTTCTTTTATTCTCCCTGAGAAGTAACTGAAAGATAACTTAAAAAGTCGATGCTTACCTACTTCTGACTTGTATGCATTAATTAAAGAAAGAGGCTGTAGTGCATTGTATCCCCAGGGAAGAATCTATTTACCTGTCGGAGCTGTTGTGGCCAGATTCACCAGTACCTGCTGAGTAGCTGCATCAGTAAATCCAGTGAAGTAAAACTATTACTGCCTTAATAACCTCAGATTTCAGTCATCATTTCTTTGACGTGCAGCCCATCAGCTGGCTGTGAACTGCAGAACTGGATGTGACTCTGGGGAGTCGGGGTGGGCAAAATCCAAGAGGTTTTATCCTGTCAGTACGTTGGCAGCTGTAGCCTTGTTGGAACTGCCAAGAAATGTGTCAAGTTCGATTTCAAGTGAATTGGTGACTGTCAAAAAGGATATTTGAGTAAAACTGACTACCTCAGTTCTGTTTGTCTTTGGGTTAAGCTTCTAGCCTGCTGTGAACTTCCAAATATTAAGATGAATTAAGTAAAAACATGTCTCAGGTGTTTAAGAGCAAAATAGATACAGTAGGAAGCATAAGCCATTTTTGAGTGTAGAACACAGTTAAAATTGTAGGTTGAACCAATCAGTTATGTAGCCTTAAACGTAGTTTCCCCTGGAACAGTTGGTATTAGTTTTTCAATAAATACAAAGTTTGCAGGCAGCTACTTGAGGTGTCCTCAATACATTGTGGCAAGTCCATCCTATTGTATTTTATGTGGGAAAACTTTGAAATGTAGCCCAAATAAGCCTTTGCTTTCCCCAGAGTAGATGGGGCAGCAGGAGCCCTGGAAATCGTGCTAAGGGATGAATGAGTTAGCTTGTCTGTAGCAGAAACGTTTTCAGTATATTAATGCCCACAGTTTCAATTTTTTAAAAGCATTCCATCTTTGCTTATGGAAGCACGTTAGTCTTGCAGTCTCTCTTTTACCCCAGTAGTTCAAATCTCTAACATTTCAATTAGAAGTCGAGGCAAGTGGTACTTCAGGAACACATTTTTCTAGCGCTTCAGACAGTTACAAGGAGGAAGGATAGCTTTTGGCTGGAGAATGCAGCAAGTAAAATCACACTGAAAAGCAGGTAATTCATTCCTCTGGAAATGAACTGAGGTCTGGGGTGACTGTCACAGCCCTGGCTGTAGGTTAATCACCAAAAGAGAATATTGACCCCCAATAATGGACTGTCGGTGCAGTGCAGCTCGTTCTTTCTGCTGAGCACTAGTAAATTAGGAAGACTGATGTCACTTTAGAGCAGACATATCTACACTCCCTTCCAAGGGACAGTTGTTTTAAAATCTTCCAGTCCTGCAAATCTTTCTGCTTGAATCTATTTCAGTAGAGAGGGAGGCCTATGTCCTTCCTCCCTTGTGTTTCCCAGGGGTGACGTTCAGCCAGCTCAGCAGGTCGAGGTCTTTCCCCTGCAAGATTTCACACGGACCTTTTGCTTGGCTGAATGTATCACTCTTCAGGATTTGGGTCTAGTTGTGTATTAAATAATGTGATCTTACACTACCAGACTTCCAAAGTGCAACTGCTGCCTTTTTAATGTGAAGCTTACCTTGGAGATAAAACAACTGTTTTGAGAAAACTGGCTGACCTTGAACGTGTGTTTCCTATTTTGGTACAGAATGTAAATATAGAACAAACTATTTTCCATAGGCTTTGACTGTATTGAGATATAAGGGCTACTTTTTGTTATTTATGGAGTAAAAATTTCCTTATTTTACTGTGTAAAAAAAACAAAACAAAAACCAGGTATGTCATATGAAAGAAGAAAAAATTGTTCATCAATAAAATGTCTGTAGAAAATTTACTCTTCTTGTCCTTTTGAGAGCTGACAATTATTAACCACAAGAATAAGCGCAATAAAGGACCACCATTACAACATTACAACAGTAATTTATTTTGTGAGGACTTTGAAAAATGAAATGACATCAGGTGTGTGTATTGATCACTTTATTAAACTGTTACTTGATACACTTTCAGTGTAAAATGTTCTGTGTTATTAGTAGCTCATATGTGACATCAGAAATGCAGCCTGCTGATGAAGTAAGGAGGTTCCCGAATTCTCTATCCCATCCTCATTTGTTACTTAAAAATTATGCAATATTTAAGTCTTTTTCCACTTGAAATGGAAGATCATAATTCTCTGTTTTATGTAAAGAATTTGGCCACAGGATTGCCATTTGAGCTGGAGGAATGTTGGTGTTGCCCTGCAGAGCCCCGAGCCATGAGTTGTGACTAGACTTGGAGCTGGAGGAGGTGAGGCACCTTGGCTGCTGTTCACCAGGGATCAGTGATGCTGCAGATGCTGTTTCCGGTACCTGAACCAGCTTTGTCAGCTGTAAGACTGAGATTTTTGCAATATAATTACAATTAATACATTTTTTAATATATATATAACTCTGATAAATGTGAAAGACATAACATTCCTCTAAAATGCAGAGTGGAGACGATTTTCTAATCTAGCTTTTTCTTCCCCCCTCCCCCTAAGCAAAATATCAGTGAATACATAAAGATACTAAAAAAAAAAAAAAAGCACTTGCCTCCCTCTCTGCTATTTTGGGAAATCGGATAAAGCAAAGCAAAAGTAGGTTACTCTTCCTTTTTGTTTGCCTTATCTTGAAATAGGAGTTTTTCAAAAGGGTATTAAAGCTTATAAAATGTGCCACTGTTCATTTCATAGCTGGCTTTAACTCTGGAAAAACATCATGTATTGTAAAGTTACCCAAGTACAGCTAGAAGGTTTAAAAACTTCTATGTCTCTAAAATTAACACCATTGGTAGC